TGATGGAGAAATTGTTTGTAGCAATAATGATGAAAACAATAATAGTAGTAAATTAGAGTAATTTGAAATAGTTTTTACGGATGTAGGATTGAAAAGTGAAAAATAAAGAGGACAATTGAGTAAGCAAGATGAAGTTACAAACTAAAACCATGATAAACAAAAGAATCTAATAAACTGATTTCAGATTACACCAATTACAAAATTCTGTCAAAAATATAAAGAGATGTACACCTTAACTAATCTCACATTGGTGGAAATTTAATCATCCGTAAATTAAAGCATAAGTTGTCCATACAAACCATCGTTAATTCTAAAACGGTCTGGTCATTCTAATTTAAATTTCTCAAAATTATGTAAGATCTCATCGACCAATATATTTTCACATTTACTGTACCACTAATGATAAGATTAAAGTAGATACGATTTGTATGCATTAATATTAGGCTGAATGCATACTATTTATATTATTAAATGATTAAAACTTTATCATATTTGGATAATTCAGTGGCCCAAGTACTTATGAATCTGGTGCTTTCATTCGAATAGTGTGATACATACTATTTACAATCATGTTATATCATTTTTATTTGTAATCCGTTGCATATAACAGGTTTTATTTCAATTGAACTAATTGAGATGAAGCATTTTCCAAACTCAGTAATCCTAATGTAGTTTTGTTACTTAATTTTCGATACTTTTTCATTAAGTTACAACGCTTGCCTTCCAATTAGTCTTATTCCACTTGAACTATCTCATCGTTTACATAACATGAAATGTACTTGAAGTTAAATCATTTGTTCATAGTTTATCTCTCTGATAAGTGTTAGTTTCCTTCATCTCTATCACATCTTTATGATACTGGTTCTATTTGATTAAATAAGCTTATTCTATGAATCCAGAAAACATTTTAGTAGTCTCTTTCCTTACCTTGGTTGTCTAATTAATTAAAAACTTACGTTTTCTATTTTATTACTAAGTAACTATAATAATAGTAAGCATGTTGTTATTAGTAGTAACTAATGACAACTCGACTTGTAATTAGTTAAATGGTAGTAAACATTTCCGATTTTTGATTAATTCTTGACGAGTATTTTGAAATGAAGATAAATAAACTTGAATCAAACTAGTTATGTATGAACGAATTAACTGAAATTTTATGTTTTATGCACAATTTATTACTGTAATAAATATAATTTGCTTAGAATAGACTGAGCTATAAGTTGATATACCTACAATTCATTAGTAAATTTACTGTTTGAAACATTAGTCTTATGATTAGGTAGTTGAAAATAAAAACTTATAAATCATTTTCATGAAGGTATAGAACCTACACAATTTTATATTTTGTTTATTCCAATATTAACTACATGATTTGTCCCTTTTCTTCAGTCTTTACTTCAAATGGATATGATCATACTTGAATTTTTTTGATTGAGATCATGAATCGACTGATGTTGGACCACCGTTGGAAACCTGGAAGCACTGGACGGCCGTTTCGTGTTACCGTGGGGCTCCTCAGCAGTGAGCATCCACGATCTCGGGACTCAAACCCAGGGCCTTCAGTCTCGTGCACGAACGCTTAACCTACTGGACCACTGGGCCGGCATCCAATGGTGTTAGTGGATTCGAATCCCGCGAGCTGGATCGTAGATGTGCACTGCCGAGGAGTCGCACAAAAGGACAAAACGGCCGTCCAGTGCTTCCAGGTTTCCAACGGTGGTCTAATATCAATTGGTTCATGATCTTAATCAAAAACTTAATAATCCCTACAACCCCTATACTCATATTTAAATTTATTTGGTAGCTTTATGTAAAGATATTGTGAGGTAATTGACACAACTGAATGGGTTACTTGTTTCTTATGTTTGGAAACACAAAAGCAATTGTGTTGATATTAATCACACAATCTAATATTGCATATTTAGTTACACGAACGAGTTTCCAATGAAAAATACTCACTATCCCAACAAATTTTGCTTTAATAATATTTTTCATCATTAGCTTTTGGTACATAAATTTCTTTAATATTCAAACTAAGAAGACTTTTTAGTTTTGTCGAATTTCGCCGTTTTTAGCCTAGGTATGGGTTTCACGCTTTTCTGTAGAAACCCTTGAGTAAATAGACAGTTAATCTATTAGAAGAAATGTGTAATAAGAGTATGTATTACAATTTATTGTAGATGGCTAGTGGACGACCTAGACGTTTTGTAGATCTACAACTACATCAGTTCCAAAAGTTCTCAGACATATATTGAAACGGGAATCATGATATATTAAAAAAAGATTTCATTTTTTAGTGAAATCAACATCAATTTCAAATAACGCCATAATGAACATTGGTGCAGAATAATATGAATTCATTATATTTTCGCGGTTTCTCATCAGCTCTCTACAACCAAATATGTATTAGAATTTTACATTGAGGTAAAATATAGTGTGGAACAATTGATATAAGTGAATGTGAATAATTGGAATGACAAAGGTTATCAATAATAACAATATATAAGTGTGAGCAAGAACAGGTCAGAGGTTATCTGTTGTTAGAATCAAAAAATATTAGGGATGGGTGATGTAATCATTGGGTGAAATTCGGAGACAGATAAGATAAATTATATGATCACCTATGGAACTAAAAACGACATGTTCTCTTTTCTCAGTAGCTCCAACCGCATTTACCAAATTACATGTACGAGCCAAAGCACATACATTGGAAGGACTGAGAGAAAATTGCATGTTCACATTTCCGAGCTTGTTCCAAGGAAATCAAGACTACGAGGGACTAAGGTTCTTGACAGTGCAATAGTTAGGCATTTATTTGACACCAGGCACACCACTGACATTCCTCATGCTTTTAAAACTATTAACAAAGAAATACTTTTTCTCTCCGTTTCGTTGAAGCGATCGTGATAAAAAAAACTCAAACCTGATCTATGTATTCAAAATGAGACAGTAATAAACCTATTACTACCCTGATAATTCAATTTTTGGTCATTAGTTATATTTTGTCCATGTTTTGGTTTGTTATATTTCTCTTCGATTATCAAATTCTTAAACCACCCTTCACTCATACATTTTCACTCACTCGATTCTCTTAAATTGTGTAAGCATTTCAAATCCTATTCAATTATTACGTAAGCCATCTAATCAGTTTTTATTCAATTCCAGGAATCTTGTGTAAACCCTTCATTATCTCTAAAATTATCACATAATTTATCTGTCTCCGAACTTCACCCAATGATTACATCACCCATCCCTAATATTTTTTGATTCTAACAACAGATAACCTCTGACCTGTTCTTGCTCACACTTATATATTGTTATTATTGATAACCTTTGTCATTCCAATTATTCACATTCACTTATATCAATTGTTCCACACTATATTTTACCTCAATGTAAAATTCTAATACATATTTGGTTGTAGAGAGCTGATGAGAAACCGCGAAAATATAATGAATTCATATTATTCTGCATCAATATTCGTTCTGGCTTTATTTAAATTCATAAGGGGAACTAATTGCATGAAACACCAACTTCCTTGATTTCAAGTAACTTTTAACTGAATGTTATTTTGGGACAATAATTATTAAGCCAAAAGACTGCTTATTATTAAAAGTACCATTAAGTTATTATCAAACAATCGTTTGATATATTCTTCGTAAGTCTACAAGATAATTAATTAAATCATGAATACTCATGTTTGTTCGGTTTCTGAATGTCTAATCCTAATAGTTGTAATATGAAAAGAATGTGCTTGTACGAGGAAAATACACAAACATTAAATAAACAATAAACAGTCATTTTTTGAACTAAACTACTATTTCTCTTTGGAACATTTTTATTGCAGATTGATTTTTATGGAGTTGAAAAACAGTGAGGTAAATGTCTGTTTATTATACATTTTGATTTGTATTATAAACATGATCTGAATACTTTTACTTAATACTCTATCCTGGTTTTGCGCTTATTGACGACGGTTATCCAACCATTATTTTGTAGTGGATTGTAAAGGTTAAAAATTATACATACGTAATTTTTAGTAATCATTCGTAAACAGTTACATATCAGCTGCTGAATTCTGATGTTTCTGCAGCTCAGCGGGGAGATAACCAGTCGGTATGATCCTATCTTTATTTACACATCACTTCGTTTTTCATTTTTTTTAGCTGATTGGTTCTCTTCTGATCAACCGTTAAATATGTCTAATTTGGTTATCTAATTCAGCCTTAGTGACTGAGTGAATATTATATTATTTTGAAACATTTACTGAGAACTATTAGGATTAATAACACGAACTATCGTAATAGAAATAATTTACGCTATCCCAAAGGCATATTTTGCAATTTCTATTTACAATGGATTCCAGGAAATTTTAGTTATTTCCTTATCTGTGTCCCTGACCATTTTAAAAAAATACACTAATTTTTTTTCGGTTATCAGCTGTTAAAGATCCAGGAAACAGTCAAGATTCCGTCTAAAGCATTGTGTGATCGACTTCCATGATGTGTAAAAAATATTATGTAGCGTCACATCCATTTGACCCTCCTACTAAGCTTTTAAAATGACCTTCAGTATTTTGTCATCACTCATTTTTGCTTACGCCGAAACTCGGTACTTTTGTGGTTCAACTACCTCATCGATTTAACATCTACATTATTCTTAACACTTCAGTAGCAAAAAAAATGATTCCAGATATCTGTTTGCCAATAACTTCAAAGTTAGTTCTCACCACGAACTGAAATAGTTTGAAAAGTCATCGGTAACTAAAGACTACCGATTATTTGTTTCGTACTAATTCCTAACTCTTTATCATTATGCACATAAAATGCGACATGGAATGAGCCAAAGACCATGTCTCACGATGACCACAATTTCTTCGAATCAGTTATTTAAAATTTAATGTTCTCCATTTGTCGAACTTGAGCGATGAAGGCTTAATTTTTTTGTTCCCTAGGGAGTTACGCGGTAAAGTAAAGTAAATCAAAAATCCGTCATTTATACAAAATTACAATATGTATTTTTTTTACTTAAATGATATTTTTTGAACATACTTAGCAACAAATAAATCTTAAACACAATCAGTTTTATACAAATAATCATTTCTTAAAATAGAATCTGATAAAAACAAATTATCATTTGGTTGAATACTCAATGATTCCATTTTCTCGTTATCTGCTTCAATTACATCTATTCTATTTTTACTAAACTGATAATCATTTAAATTTTGTTTATTTATTAGCTTATCCTGATTTGGTATAGTTAAACTACATTGACTATTGTTGTTATTATCATTATGAAGATTATACTGATGAATAACAGGTTCAGTAAACTGTAAATGAGTATTCTCGATCTTATTATGGTCAGTACTATAAAAGAGATCATAATCTTGAGAGTCAGTTTGTTTAATTTCACTATGATTAATTGCATTATCATTACTCAGTACTTCAGGATTTGGTATGTAGAATTTTTTGTCTTCACGTTTTAATGGACAAGAATCAAGTGTACACAAATAAGCTGACTGACATCTGAAATAAAGATGAAAAAAGATTTGTTAATTTCACTTATTTAATCAAAATAAAAACAGTATGCGCATAAATATCATTTACCTAGGCGACAAAGCATTCAAACCACTAAAAAGAAACTTTCGGTTTTCGCCTATGTCTTAAGTACTGAATACATGTAGCTTTTTTTGAAGTTTTGTTCTCTGAGCCGGATGGTTTGGTCGTGAAGCTTTCATCATTCTTCTGAACGACATCATTAGCGCAAACTTCAGATAGAAGTGATGTGTTTGGATTTCTCCATATGCGTTTCACAGTTTGTTCTGTACACCTCGACGTTGATTGGTTCTTATTGACCTTAGATTTGTCATTGTTTACTTCTTTGTTTTGGTTGTGTCTCCCATTGGTTTGATTTTTGTTCCTATATTTGTGCATAATCATTAGTCTAAGATCACTTGATAAACAGTTAGAATGGAGGACGAACATGTAGATTTTTTCCCTCGTTTATAATTATGACAAACTCTTCATCATTGGGTTTTATTAGATGTTCTCAACTCAATATAATCTATTAAACCAAAAGTTCTTACAGCTAAAATATTTGAATTCAATTTAAAAGGCTATTATTTACTTAATAAAATTTAAAACAAAAAGAAAGTTAAAGATTTGAACGTAGAAAGTTTGTTGGTGTATCTTAGGGGAATTAGAAAGTGTATAATGAAGCTCATATTCTATTATTCCGAGTCAATTGTTAATAAATGCTGTAATTTAAAGTAAATCATCTAGGTTTATTGTGGACAATTGTTTTTAATATTTTTAAAAATTTATTTATCCAATAAGCAGAATACACTTCAAGAAACAAAAGACTGTTGACTTGAAATATGGCGCCATTCATTTCAAAATGCCATTAAATCATTTTTTTTAGAAAAAAAAGATACATTTCTGTCTCATAAACAGTATGTGCCTAACTCCTTACAGCTTTATGTATATTCGTTTTCTCGTGTGCAATCTCTACTTCTTTTTTCTCCAAAGATCATACAGTTTTAAAATATGAAAGAGAATAATACAGTTAAACGGTTCAATAATTTTTAGACATAATAAGTCACGAGTTTAATTGTTCAGTATGTGATTCTTTTTTTTTCTATATAAAGAATACCAAATGATAATAAACAATGTTAATGAGTGATTATTTTTTTTTGAAAAAAAGTAGGGTTTCAAGAGCTCTTTAGTATGTTCTATTGTAAGAGGAAGTGAAATATGGTATAAAATAAGTTTTCTTTTTTCAAAATAGCAGTAAACGTTCTTTGAATAGACTTGTTAATTTCTTAATTATAATAAGACAAATGAAGTGCCATTAAAATTATTTTAATAATATCTCAATTAGCTTATTCACATATTTCAATGGTCAATAAGTTCCATAGAATGGATTGTTTGACTTTATTTCACCGTTGTCCCATGATTGTGAAATTATCAAGTGGCTATATAGATTGCGAAACTAATATCTGTTGTATAATATCCCATTCCAGATTGTTTTGAAAAATGTTTGAATAACCTTACGTTAAGCTTATTCGTATGACCATATGCGGTGAACTTGATCTTTTAGAACTCTACTATTTCATGTTGCCTGATAGTTGTACATAAATATTTTCTTCGAAAATGCTGTAGTGTAACTGACCAAAATATGTAGAAACTTACCTTTATATCAATCACTTAAATAAGCTTACGCATGAGTTTGATGCTTACACAGTGCTTCTAATGACAACATGGACATAAAAATTTTAATTAATGAAACAATGACCGACTGAAATTTACTAGTTCCTTGTCATCGTATTACTGGATTCTTTTCTAATTACATTTATGAACCATTCATATTTTTACTTTAAAGTGAGATGAATTCTGCTTTAGGGATGGGAGGTAAAGTCAAACTCGCACGCCTACGTCTTGTCTTCTGGACGATTGCACTCAGTCCCATAAACCGACAGAAGTGGCGAAGCTTGTGGTAGAGATTGGGCTAATCACCCACCGAACAGAAATTCCCAAACGATTAGGACGTATATAAAGAAACACAGAATAACTATAACGGGTGGTGCTGGTTATTGGACTAGAGAACAGAGGAAGTCGCCCTGTGTCTACAAAAAGACAAAAAAGAGCACGGAACTAAAAGGGCAAAACGTGGTCTATGGAATGTTCGGGGATGTGCACAAGAAGGTAAACTCCATCAGATATTTAGTCAGCTAAGTGAACATCGCTATCACATAACATTACTGACAGAAACTAGATTACCATCTAAAATATTAAACTTAGACAGAAGAAACACCTGCTAAAATAGTAATCTAAACGTAAACAACTATCTTAATACTGGTTTAGACTTCTTCATCAACAACCGAAAAGAACTGACAGAGACCAACTATTCAGAAAAAGATGTGCAAATAGCGACCATCCGCATGTACAACAAAACAACCAGGCAAACTTTTAGCCTGACTGAATGCTATTTCCCTACTTCAGCATCAACTGGTGACATTAAAAAAGAACTATTCTAATTTGAGCTACGACAAACAGTACAACACCTTCATAAGCTAAGATACCCAAAAATTATCTTAGGAAATATCAACTTTTGCCTAGGTCCTGAACTCAGTAATAGTCATTCAAACTGTATAGGAATTTATACTGACATTGAAATCGAATCATCTCCAAATGTCACACGTTTAATAAACCTCTGTGATAAGATGAACATAAGAATAATTTACTTCTTTAACAAACTTAAGGCAAAAATACATACCGGTCACATTATGAACTTTAGACTAACTTAACGCAAGTCAAACCTTCTAGTATTTGAGATTTATCCTAGCCGATCCTTCGAAGCTAATGCAGATTATCATATAGTGACAAAAACAGTTAAATTAAATAGATCCTGAAACTCAAGAGATCTTAAGCGAAGTGGATGAACTGAATGCTGTCTTTTAGGAAAACAAACAACATCACGCATAGGAACTTCGTGAAGAAATGTTGGCCACCATCCGAAACCAATCATACAATCATCGCAAAATAAAAATAACAGGCGATACTGTGGTTCTACTACTACAGTATATGCTAAAATGATATACAAGAGACTAAAACAGTTGACTGAACAAAACCTCCCTCCAACTCAATTCGGATTTTGCGAACATCTTTCAGTTACATATGCAATTGCGATGATAAGGCACACAATACAATGTGCTCCAAACTTCAACTAAGAACTAATACGAACCTTCATTCTCCTCACAAAAACGTTTGACTCATTACCAATAAAGCTGCCTTTAGGTACACCTTATAAAGAATTCTCGCCAAGCAATATCAACCGAAATATGACAAAGCCAGTAGACGGCCCAAAAGGCTACATAAAAGGCACAAACCAACACTTCACAAAGGATGCAAGCGTACGATAAGGCAGTAAAGAAGGCCCACCTCTCTTCATCCTCATACTCCAAAAAATCCTTAGTTCAACAATAGATCATATGACAATCGGCCTAGAACTGACTGATTACAACAATGTAACCTGGACATTATATCATATAGAATATGCTGACAATCAATGTCTAATCACTGCAACAGTTGAAGAAACTACCAAAGCCTTCGCTTCCTTCTGAAACTGCTTAACCAAACTAGGAATGCAAATGTCCCGTAACAAAACCAAAGCCATGGTAATAAATAAACAAAGTAGTGATCACGAACATCTACAAACTTGAAGAAAAAACTACACTCAACAATCTAGGATCAATGCTAAGAAATTATAGGACACTCGATAATGCAATCACAATAAACATCGATAGAGCTAAAACAACATTAATCAAAATCAGATCAACAATACACTCAGTAAATATTAATATACAAACAAAAATCAAGGTGGTGGGTTTTTCAACCATCTTGTAGATAGAATATGGATTTATTTACTACACACTTTGTATGGTTTAAGATGAAAAATGGTTTGATTATAAACTGTCATTTCAGACTACCAGTCATACTGTTGACAGATAAAAGTATTATGCGGCACCAATTGGAAGTAGAAGGCATAACTGTAGAAGATTGGGAAGATGCAATTAAAGAAAACAGAAAGTAATTGTAATAAAAACGGAAATGAAAGAATCGTGAAGCGTGTAAAAGACAGTTGATGGAAGATGTGTAAATTATGTATTTAATGTATGTTTTTTCATATTTTATGAATGTACTCTGTAATTATATATTAAACAATAAATTAGTCTTCTCCACCTGAGTGTTCGTTCACTACTATATAGTTCTATAGTGTGTTAGTTTTGCAGATGGTTAAAACATACACACAGCTACTTTAGGATCAAAATGCACTAAATAATAAATTTCATTCGTTGATTAAGTTCTTACTTACAGTTTTACTCTAAGCCTTTTTAGATACTAAAGATTAATAAATTTGAATTAAGAGTAAAAATTAACATTACAAGTTATATAATTCTTGAGTGAAATGTTTTCACTCTTGCAATTCGATTCATTCTCTTAAGTGATTTGAATTAATTCAATGACATTTATTTATTAAATTGACTTTAAGAGAACTAATCAATTAACATTTTACTGTGATATAGTTGTATTTGAGGTCAGAGATTATAATGTTATCTATATATATAAAAAATATCCATGCACCTAAGTTTCCTAGAGTACAAATCATCAGTTAGACGTCTTTACAACATTGAATGAAAAAAATAATGATCGTTTGTACTCATAATGTTTATCTTATTCCTTTTTGTGGATTGCTTTCTAGAAAAGTAACTATTTTATATTCAAAAACGTGTTAACTTACGTATTTATAGGTATAGTTGTATTGCTCTTCTCATGTTTAGTAAAGAGGAAGAGGGGGTTTAAAACTTTTTCTTGACCACAGTGTGATTCCTGTTCATTACTGATAAAACTAGTTGTTGTCACTGAGGAAGAATCCAGAAGGTTTCCATATGGGACATTTAAATTTAAACTTTTTTCATTAAACTGTGTTACTGCTGTTTGTTTAGGCTTTAAAGGTAAATTACTGGAAGCGAAATCGTCGAACGTTTTATCATTTGCACCATTTTGATAGTTTTCACGAATACTATCTTTTTTAATTGAAAAATCACATACTGGTGCTGTTCTTGATTTAATTGTATTTTCTGCTTTATCCAACTCATCTAAAACTGTTATGGTTAAATCTACACCATCAGGATAATGCCTAAACCAATGCATCGCTGTTAGTTGATCCCAGCCATGTACGCACTGACCATTTAGTGATACAACTTGCTGACCAGATCGTAGACCAACACGTGATGCTGGTGAATTAGGTAGGACAACATCTATTCGAAGTTCCTGTTGAGTAAGAAAGCAAATGATATTTTACAATATTATATGTATCTAACACTAAATGATTGTGCGTGTGTACACAAAATCCTTGTAAAATTAATAAGTTAGCAAGGAATTATAATGTGAAAGAAGTAAGATGATCAGAGCGTTCTTGTAATAGAGGGGTTAAATGAAATGAAGAGACATCAGAAACAATTATGGGTAAAATCATGAGGATATGAGAACCATTTAAAGACATGGAGATATTTTCAAATACGAAATATAATAATAATAGTATTAGTTTGAGGCTATGTTAGTGATAAGGATGAGGCGTGCTTTTTTTATATGCGCAGTTCTGGCTTCAGCCCATGGATAGCATGAGCTTCTGCCATTTTGAGGATTTGCGTACGAAGAAATCGATGTAGATTTGGATGAATTGAATAAACAACCGTAAAATAAACTTGTGAATCAGCGGAGTGATTGGAGTCGATTAGATGCTCAACAATAGAGTTTCTCACTGCCTTCCTCTCACCTTTGTAGAACCATACCGGGAAATATTCTCGAATCCGAGTTAGAAGCGTTGGCCATGGCCTATGTACTTTGCTTCACAAGAGCAGGTGAACTGATAGATGCGCATACAGGTTACAAGGTGAGGAAGCTTATCCTTTACAGATATAGAAAACAGGTTTCTACTTGTAAATATTGGTTGCAGTCTTGCTGCATAGGACGTTCTTTTCATCGCTGCCGTTGGCCGAATCCTAATTGCGGCAGGAATTTTGTCACCTTTAAGTTTCGGATTCATGAAAAGATATTTTTCTTAAACTGAATTGCCGGACTCCCTGTTTCGACTTCTTTTCATGTTCTTCTTTATGAAGCGGTTTGGATAGCCGTTTTTAGCCAAAGCTTTTCTGAAAAGTGAAAGTTCTTCATCGATGCGTTCAGTAATACATATCTGATGTATTCGGTAACACAAATAGCGGATAAGATTCCTCTTTCCGCTTAGTGGAGCTCAGCTAAAGAATTTGGTCCGGTAGGAGTTCCAGGTTTATTTTCTGTAAATGAACCTTTTTAAGGATCCATCACACCTCCTTGTCAGATGGACATCGCGAAACGATACTGAATGACCTACCTCATTTCATAACATGAAGTCTAAGGAAGAATGGCATGTGCTGAACAATGTGAAGTATGTACCAGTTCCACAATCTCGTCACAAATAACGGACGTATCGTCCATATGTCTTTCGTAAAGATTAAATCGATCGGTTATCGAACTAAGCTGATCGTTTTCCAATTAAAATGTGAAACAGTCTGCTAAGATTGGGCTCAACGGAGACCCCATTTCAATCTCACCGTTGGATGCCAGCTCAGTGGTTCAGCGGTTGAACGTTCGCGCGCGAGACCAACGATCCTGGGTTCGATTGCCGCGAGCTAGATCGTGGATGCGCACTACTGAGGAGTCCAATACTAGGATGAAACGGCCGGTCAGTGCTTCCAGGTTTTCAATTGTGGTCTAACATCAATCGATTGATGAACTAAATTAAAAACCGAACAATCTACACAACCTCATACTCATCATGAATACTTGAAACAAATTATAAATTGAATACGTCTGTGGTATTAATAACTGAATGAGACAGAGATACTATTGAGGTCAAAGAACATGAGTACATCTAATATTACTGTTTAATATTCGTACGGTAACTAAACAATACATGAAACAAATATGTGTCAATCAAGAAATAACAGAAAGGTTGTTATGTATGCTAGCAAAAAGTAATTTAGCGAAATAAAGGTGATAACATTTATTTGTGAGATTAGTATTCCGTATAAATACAAGTAATGCATGTTCAGTAGTATAATAACATAGATTCATAATCATAATACAACCCTGTGCTTAACAATTGATTGTTGCAATATGAATTTCTAATGTTAGAATTTGTATTTGACGATAGTCAAATAACAACCTATTAGTATAAGGATAAAGAGCTTGTTCGTAGATTTAAAAGCCCTTGGTTCAACTGCTGAACTTGCGAAAAAATATTTTGAAGAAAAGTGTATACCATATAGAAGCCCAATAGAATAGTTTGAGTTCATCTAGCAAATGAACTGTCCATGAATATGTCATACTTTGTGAAACTTTTCTGTCACATTTATTAGTAAAATCAAATTTTAAATATTTCGTGGTCACTTTCTTCAACTATTTGATTACGTTAAGGCATTCGAAAATTATTTAACCTACATAACAGTGACCTCAAATGCTGAAAAATTATCTAGATGATAAAGTAAATGTTTCATTTGAACAAGCTATTTATTTAAAAAAAACTCATGAATAGTAACCCACTGACAAATGAGTGTGAACTATGAGGCATCAATGAAATTCACCTGATTTTTCCTGAATGAAATTGGTATTTTTCACTAACCATTTTGGGTGGATGTTTCATTTCTTTCGACAAGTGAAATGTGCTTATTTTCTTCAAAATATTTCTTCTTCAAGGAGATTGTAAGTTCTAAACTGATTATTTATTTAGCATAGTGATAGAAAGGCTTTTAAATAAGTTGTTTCAGTGACAAATAAAACTTGAAAAACTGTTATTTGCGAAAATAACATGTATATATTGTTTGAAAGTTGGGTGAAGAATGAAGATTGATTCAGCTGCAGTGGTTTCTATGTGTCTAACAATTATTCAAGACATGAGGAAATGATGCAATAATACCTACTTATTTGAACTTTCATTTAATAATATCAATTTCTACAGATAACTTTCTGTAGCATTTAATACATTAGTTGCCCGAGATTAAAGATATAAACCTCAAAGAAGTAGTTCAGTAGCCCATAGATGATTTTAACCATTAAGTTCAATCTTAAAATTATACTATTTAAATTCTAATAGATATTTAGCTGATATTACTGCTGAAGGAAAAATGAACTTCAATAGTTTATTTACTCGAATATAATGTCTTCTTCAAACCTTACCAAATTTCAAAATTAATGACCGAATTTATTACTTTCCCTATAATGTTACATATAAATCTTCTGTAGTTTGTAATATTAGTTGTAAATGAAAATTCACTGAAACTTTAACAGAACGTCATATGACTTTAGACTGTGAAAGGAAGAGAAAAAATACTAGAAAAAAAGAACACTTTTTATAAATATCTTTGAATTTGTTAAAAGCATTTTGGTAATGTAGTGTATTATAAGCTAAAAACAGACATTCATTTTCTATTTAATGCCACTATTTTTTTTATGAACAATACAATGGGTAATCTAAAAATCAAATAAGTTTCATTTACTCAAAGCGCTTATGTATATCTATGCTTTTTATCTAAACATCTTATTTTATTGAATATAAACAGTGCACAATGTAGTGATTTTTTTTCTCCATTCCAGACCAAAAAGTGAAGCTACAACGAATGTTTAAGACAAATGACAGTATTTATCATTTCCCTATCACATTTAAAATTTCAAATTATCCGCATGAAGAATTTATGAAAATTTAAAACAAATAATGAATAACGTTTAGATTAAATTTATGACGGGAGATAGGGTGATTGAGGTGATTTTTTCCGAAATCAATTTTTTTGTTTATTTCTTTCCTATCTTTTCGTTAGAAATTCAAACCCAAATTTCGTATTGATAATGGTTGGTGAGTGCCTTGTTCTGGACGAAGCAACGGTATGGATAATATGCTAGATGAAATTCAGAAGTTATGAATCCATGAACTATGTTTCTTCGTATTTTGCAGAAGCTAACTAATAACAACTTAGGTCCCTTTATAACTGCAAATATCATTATTCTCGTTTGCTCATATTATACCTAACTGACAAAATACTCCGTAAACTAATCAATTCCATTTGGTGAAACAGTTATTGGCCAAGCCTACGTAATCCGTATGACAAACACTTAAGTTTTTGTAATTTTATAAATTAACTTATTCTCTGTTGAGTAAACAAAATTTCTAACATCGATAGGTCTGGCGTTTTGGTTTTCTCAGAAGAATGAAAATACCACGCAGCTAATGATAAACCACTAACATGAAATATTAAACCATTTACTACGCTATTACCAGGCACAGGCTTTTCGAAGCCAGTCACATAGAAGAAAGTTCGAACACTTGACTCAATTATTCATCGTATAGGGCTTAAACTGGTAATTAAACTTTTAAAATCGTTTCCTTATGATTCGCCTCGTTGGAATGACCTTTACACAGATCGAAATCCTTTTTGTTTAGAAAAATAATCAATCATCATGTAAAGACGTGTATTTTAAAACAGTGTTTATCAGACTTAACCTCAATTTAGAAGTTTTCCCGATAGATGATTTTGCTTAATGATTTCAGTACATACCAGTGAGCCTTTACTATTCAGCATAAACTGTATAATTTGCAAGTTGTTTATTCGCTTTATTCAAATTTGTTAGTGCTGAGGAGTAGTCTAAATATCTTTGTTAAAGAGTTTATTGACTTCATTATTTCAGTTAAGACTTGTGCTTAACACAATAAAACTGGATGAATGATACTAGAAAATTTCAGGCTGTCGTGTGTTTTCAAATGAATTTTTGGAAGTTTTCTAAATACATATTTGGATCTTTTTTGACGTAGTTACATAATTCCAACTTATTTATATTGAGGTATTTTTCAAACTGACTTTATCATAAATACTTCAACTAGCATAAAATGGTCAGTAACAGAAATTTCTCAAGACCGTGTGCTTTAAGGTATATGATACCTAGATCTTTTACTTTGATGATGAAATGTTATCTATAATAAGTTCATGACAGACAAACAGAAAAAAAACAGTTGTTACCTTTATTTCTAACTAAAAACCCTTGTTTTATTTTTAGAAAACAAACAGTAGGGTGCTATTGCAATAAAACTAAACATAATCTAAGAACTAATACATACTTTTTGTCTGAATTTACGATACAGTTAATTAGAAATGATTATAGTTACTAACAGACTTACATGTTTAAAACTTTTCAATTTTATCCCAATCTTTCCATTCTGTTTACGAATAACAGTCGTAAGAAGATAAGATGTAAACGGCCTGAGATAATTACAAAATGCATATGTAAAAGAATAAAGATTAATTCAAAATATAGGAGAATATAAAATGGTGATTGCATGCGAATTCCTTACTCATTACAAAAAAGTAACTTAATCTATACAATTTCATTTTATTCGCCTTTAAATACAAATAATAACTATAAATATACGCAAATTCGAAAGAATATCCTTTTTAACTGGGTGCATAGATTAATTTCAAAAGCTAATGCACTGAATAATTCTGTGATTTGAATTTCAAAACTTGTTACAGAATTCATATTAAATCATAAAAAGGAATAGAACTTTAGAACTTTCGGTATTTCGGCTTTCACGTAACGATTAAGACACTATGGAAAAGCCGAAATATATGCAGTTAGTGTACATCTCTTGTCAGGTTCAGATCTTACGTATTACACTTTATCTTCTGATATGGTACTAATGATTTTGAACTCACGTAAAGTCAACGGAGTCCACTTATTAGATGTATGGAATTATAATTATACAACATATTGAAGTTCATCAGTTTTTAGTAGTTTTTTAACTATTATATTCAAACAGCCAACTGGATAGCCTAGATAATCTACTTGCGTCCTAGGTTTACAATGCATTTCACAGTCTCCCTGAGATGTTGATGTCTTCATAATCCAGTCTGCCACTAGTTAGAGCAAAATAGATTAGTGGAAGCAACATTGCCTGTCACCAGTTTCAACTAGATACACTTGTGAACAACGCACAACGGATGAGGTTGCCATTCCATCCATTATAGAAGTTCCATGTAATGTTGATAATCGTTTCAGGTACTTCACAGGTTGTCCTATTCACTCTGTCCATCGTTTTCTCATAATCAAAGAAATTGATGTTTCGTGATCAGCTCCATTCACTTGGTTGTTCAACATTGATTATCACTGTGACATCGATCCTTACGGAATCTGAATTGTTGATTTTCATGTTGAGCGCCTACTGAATCTTCCATTTGGTTTAACATCATTCTGTTGAAAACTTTGCCAGATGCCAACAGTAGTGTGTTGCCCCTGTAGTTCTCACATTTACTAATATCTCGTTGCTTTTGTATTTGTATGAGGTATCCGTGTTACTAGTCTCCTGATACTTGTTCTTCATCCCATATGTTCCTGAGGAGAGCATGAAACGTCCTTTCTATTACCTCTATATTTGACGTCAATGATTCAGCTGGCATCTTGTCTGCTCCTTGTGCTTCCTTAAGGAGGAGTGTATTAGGCTTTGTAACTGTGTTTGTTCAAATGTAGCTCCTAACTGAGTTACAACTTCGTATCAGTGATGTCATATACCGAACGTTCTCCTAAATCTCAGTCATTGGCTTAACAAATACTTCTTCTGTCTTTAATCGTTTTAAATTTTCTAAAACTAGTAAAACTGAAAAGAACCTATTAAGTTAACTGATTAAAAACATAATTAACAAGATTATTTACACTGGAATATCTACGATGATGTTTCAGAATAGTATTTTTCATATGAAAAAAGTAATATATAAATGATATAAAATTCAACTTGAATACGGTTGATATTTAGAAAATCTCTTTTTGAAATGTAAATAAATATATTTGGAAAAAGGTTTAAAGAAAAGAATCAACTGGGAGATGTGAGACAAAGTGCTTGTTCAACAGGCGATCAGAACAGTCGATAAAAGGAATGTAATTATAACAGAAATTGAATCAATCAAGCTGATGCTTCAAATATCATCGTAGACCTGACAAATAACGGGAATTGATTTTCTTTATAGGTAATGAAACTAGCAATGTTTCTACTCACAATTAAATAAATCATAAATGGTCTTCCTCAATTAATGTTCGAATAGTGGCTGGTAGTAGAGTCTTGAAAGCACTCTTCTTCCTGTTTTGGACATGTCTTCTGGATACACCTCCATTGTAGTGATGGTATTCACATTAAAGTTTGAACCCATTACTTTATGCTTCGAATGTCAATGCGTTATCCATTGAGCTACAGATTCTGAATAGCTACTTGTTTATCTAACAGGTATGAAGTTGATTTGTGAGAGTTTTCATTTTCTGCTTGTTAATGTCAAAGATTACAACTGACCAGTCTCTACTGACTTATGGAGTTGTTAGTGATAGATGTTTGAGTCTGGATTACTCAAACATTTCCTTACAAAGTTTAAACTAATGGAATTAAGAATAAAATACCCCACCATCCACATTTTATTACTTAATTTTACTTTTCCACTAGGTATCCAGAATTACTCACTCTTCATGGGTGGTTGAAAACTTAATCTCTAGTTGTGACAATTATTTTGATAGGACGCATTTATTAAGCTTAGACATAAAAATTATTATTTCTTCTGCTCTAAGTGACTGTAAATTACTCTATACTTGCCAAGCGTGAAAACATTATACAAAATGATCGAAAATAGATGTTATCAGGATAAGTGAAAATCGTCTTATAGGTCGAAAGGATAACTAATGTCAGTATAAAAAGTAAACATTCATGATTTTATTTTACCGAAATTTCCATGATTTATCTAATTATACTGAATACCTAGTAAGAGCGGTGATATGACGTAAGTACCACAAGGAGAATATCAAAACACTCATTGTAAACGAATCACACCTGGAAATAACAGTTCATCACACTGAACTAATTTATCAATAAAAGCCAAGAACTGTTATGTTCACTTGATGCTGAATATTCATTCTTCATGATGCATAATATTTGGTAGGTAAGCGCCGATAACATTTTTTGTTTAAATGTTAAGAGGGTTTAATCGAGCAAAGAACTAACTGACAAGATCATGAAAGTGAATATTATGATTAGATAACAGAATAATAATAGTGATTGCAATTGTTCAATGCTTCCACGTTTTCAATAGTAGTCTAAATGAAATCAGTTAGTAATTTGAAACAGTTCACTACTTCTTGTAAAGTATGGTCGATAGACGGACCTATCAATGACAACATCAAACACCCACCACCACATTTGCTCTCTTTGACCTTGTATGACTATGCCTTGTTTATTCACCAATCATAATTTTTATATTTATCATCAACGATATTAGGTTTGTTGACTCATCTCTCTTGTACACTAGTTACTGTTCAGTATGTAACTCATGTCTCTCTTTTTCCCTGTTTAATAGACTGTATTAACTTTCTACTTTGTATACTCAGTGTTAATTTACGTTTTAGAAACAGATAAAATTAATCAAGCTAAAGAGTATACATTTTCTGACTTTGGCTAAGCTAAGACTCCGTACTAAACAGTCTGGGAAATAGCTTAGAATTGTATCTGTAGGAAATTGCTTCTGCCACTTCTCTCAATTTTTACACGACCAAAACACGTTATTACCAAATAACATCAAAGGAGAAAGTTAATTGTCAAAGGTAATTTTGCTTTATAATTCAATTCTACTATAAAATTTCCGTCATATTCGCTAGTGTATTCGGTTAAATGTATCAAAATATCATATGCATTTACTTATTGCTCTGTCTACTATTCTCAAATTTAAACAATAGTTAAAGAGATCAGACATGTTTACTATTGCTTTGCAAGTCAACAGTAAAAGCGTATAATCATACTACTACTAAGTCCTAAAACACGCCACTTCGTTAGTAACAGAACATCACATACAACTGATTATACACCTGATTGTTTTATTTAAGACAGATTTATCTATATTCATTTCAATTTTCAAAGATCCACATGACTTAGATTTGAAAGCTTTGGAAATAGTTTTAGTGAATTTAAAAAAAAGTCTTTTTAATCAATTCAATCAGTTAGGATTCGACGACAAACTTGTAAATAATTATGACAGTCTATAGATTAGAATGAAACATAATTCGAGTATATATTGACTCGAAATCATCAAACCCATGATATACAGTTATGTTCTAATTACAATTATTTTATTTTTCAAATTCTATAAAACATTTTAACTAGTCAAATGGTACTAATCAAAAATAAAATATCTGTCTCCAATATGAATTAAATTTACATATAATGTATTTTCGGACAACCGAAATTCTCCTATATTTCACGTATAATTTGAAACAAAATAAGGAAAAAAAGAAAGGCATATGCTGTATGTTCTCTCAAAATCTTAAAAAGGTTTTCTTTCTTTTCTAATAAAGGAATAATACAAATATTTTTAGTAGCAAAATCAGTTGTTTCTCCTTAGTTCGCTTCTTTATTATTATTAGATGGGTTTTGTGAATATTATAATAATTTCAATGGTTAAGATCATGATTCAGTTGAAGCTAGACCACCATGGAAAACCTGGAAGCACTGGATGGCCGTTTCGTCCTATTGTGGCACTCATGAGCAGTGCGCATCCACGACCTCGCCCCCTGCGAGATTCGAACCCAGGACCTACTGTTTCCGCGCGCGAACACTTAACCACTAGACCACTGAGCCGGCATCCAACGGTGTTAATGTCTAACTTCAACTAATCCATGAAATTGAACGACACATCCACCATTGTCTTCAATGAGTTACTATCTCATAACAGGCCTGGTTGAACTCCTTTGGTCGCTACTTCTCACTAGAACTCTAGGATATGCCCCGTGAAGCCAGTCACTAGTGAGCATATGTTGATTAATATCAGATGGGTTTTTTTGGAAATTATAGTAATTTCAATGGTTAAGATCATGAGTCAGTTATTATTTTTTTCTACAATAAAATGAAAATCGGAGAGAAAAAACACAGGACTTTCCTTTAAATATCATGAAACGAATATCGATTAGGAAAAATGTTGAAAAATCCTTTTTTTTAAAAAAAATTATTTTATTCATCTAACATGCATTAGAGAATTAAACTATAAAATAGGAAGCATTTGACTTTACTTATCATTTTTAGTCATTAAAAATGCATTAGTTATCGAGTAAAGAAGATAGAATAATAAATAAATGCCGTGGATTGGTCGAAGTTAAACATAAACATCGTTGAATCCCCCGATTCAGTGGTTTAGAGGTTAAGCGTTTGTGCGAGACCAAAAGTCCCGGGTTCAAATCCCAAGTGTGAGATCGTGAATGCTCACTTCTGAGGACTGCCGTCCTTGGACAACACGGCTGTCCAGTGATTCCAGGTTTCTAATGATGGTCTAGCATTGATCAGCTCATAGTCTCATTTAAAATAAATAAATGTCCTTATTTATGTTTCGAAATTTCCAAAAGTAATTTCAACTATTGGTTTTTGAAGGTTCTGTAGGCTAGTTTTTTAATAACACTGAATAATAACTGATCAAAGTTATGTTTTCTATGTTCATCATACTGCTCAAATTGTATCAATCATGTTATAAATATAATTACTAGTCTAAATGATACGACATTGGGTATCTGTAATTATGAGAGAATTATTGCTCCATAAATAATTTGGACTGACGTCACCAAGTGTTTGATAAATGTTAATATATCACTTACACAAAGGCTTAACTGACTCTTGAATAGGTCAGCGGCAAATAAAATTGAATGAGGTAAGAGTATTAGTTCCCTCTGGATCTCAAATGCAACTTTCTAACAAGTGTCAACTGACTAAATGTAGGTTAGACGTTCTGTCAGAAAAAACGAAAACATTTAAAAATTATTGCAAACACCTAAATGGAATAAATCTAGTCACTTGGTTTTTAGTTCTTTCTGTCTAAATTATTTTATGTGTATTATAGCAGAGTTTATTAAATTCAAAATTTTCATAAACTCCTGAATTATAAGTGTTCTCTATTAGAATGAGTACTTTTCATTGGAACATTGTTTATAAATCTTGATAGGTTTTAAAACTTAAATGAAACAGGGAAGGTTTAACCAAACATTTGTTTTGTTGATTATTAGTATGATGATAAGAACCTGAGCAATAGTAGTTATTATCTGTGAGTGAACGGTTTTTAACTATGACAGTAACTCAGCAAAATAATCGTAACTATCTATTTGGTGAATCAGATTATTTTGAAGTAAATAAGCTTGATGTGGTAATGATAATTAGCGGCTTAATTTGGAAACATGTTTATAGTCCGATTACTGCTCTAGCATCATTTTTCAGGAGTATCGATTTCATTCAGAAAACCAGAAAAAAGATCTACATGAGTTAAGAATCTAACCCATGATATCAATACTGATATACACGTCATCTCCAAGTTACTTACAAAGCCTCAAGTCCATGATTGTTTCTGCCTAAAGACACGTAAAACCGTTAGTTCGTGTATGAAATATTTTTCCAATAGAAAGTAAACTTGTTTAAGCTAATGTATAAGAAAACATAAACTATGACAGAACTTTAATCAGTAGTCAAAATGTTGTTCACCTTCTAACTCAGCTCCTTCAGAAACTAGAATATCACGCTTTCTATTGGAATAACAAATTTGTCACAAAATAAGTTGTTAAATGATTGGCATTTATTGTTTTAATATACGGTAGGATCTGTAAAACTTCTAAACCAGTGAGCATCGTCATTGTAAAGAGAATTCACTGGGGAAGATGTTATGCGGAATCATGTACTTGGAATTTTCCTCAAAACTAACGATAACACATATTTTGTATATATCAAGGTCTATTAACTTACAAAGTTCCATTTGTTACTAAGATTCTATTGTCATCTTCAATTAGTCGCAAGTTATAAAAAAGAATTATCTCTCACTGTTTTCACTCTGATGAATATGAATAGTAATTTTTTGAATGAATAAATAATTTATTTAGAGTCATCCATTTCTAAATGAATATTGGTGTTGCATTTTGTCTATGTTCTAAATTTATAAACACAATCCATTTCTCCAATCCCCATTTATTTCTATTCTTCATTAGAGGAAATAAAAATTTTGTAATTAGGTTTTTGAGCATAATTACCCTTTTATTGATGAAGTTGTTTTTCTATAGTATTCTTCAAGTCTGGAGGTTAATTAAGAAGATAATCTAAATGTATTGAAAGTCTCTTCACAAACTATAAAAACAAAATGTTTGAATGTTGATTAGAAATAGTGTTAGAAGTATCCAATGGCAGTACTTATGAAAATTCGATCATAATACATGAGTACATGAGTAACCGAAGTACAAATGTAATTACCGAGATTACTTGAGTTGGATTTCAGGTGACCCAGTAGAATATGTACTAATTATAAATGTAACATATATGAACTGCTATCTTATAAATTATTCATGGTTTTTAGAAATACATGGTAAAATTTGTTTCCATTCCCAAAAGTTTCACGTGGAATATATTTTAGGAACAGGAACACTGTCATTCTGGCTGATTTGAACAGCAATCTAAAAGTTTCACAAAGATGTCGAGAAACCTAGTTACATTGTGATTCTGTTATTTGCATCCTTGGGGTCGAAAAGTCATCCTATGTTAAACATTTAACTACACTTCCAAATAATTGTTTTATGTAACCTCTACATGCAACGTCAAACTCGAAGCCTACCATTTTGAAACGTGGTATATTGAATTTATTAAATGTTAAATCAGAATTTGTTTCCTGAAATATTTATAATATTCTTTTTAGTATTTTACTAAATAATTTTGTAAACCAAGTCCTTTCATACCATATTACTAGATCTTTGGATAATGTGGTAGATCCATTGTGTACCATACATCGATTGATTTACATTTGAAAATTAATAATCTACTTATTTTAATTTTGCTAAACGGTAAAGATTTCATTTTCACAGTTAAGTGACCAATTACTTCAAACTACTCGTTTTATACTAGTTCGATTTGCGTTTTTGTTTTTGAAAGTGCATTAAATTGCAAATGAATTCAACTATATTGTAATAAATCAGAAAGCAGTATTGTAACGGAAATATAATAAACAATGTTATTTAAAAGAAAAGGTTCAGCTTGACTTAAAAAAGAATTATTATGTGTTTGAAATGGCAATTAAATTAAACAATACAGTCACTTAGTTTCTAAGGGACAACAGAGAAAGGTATATATTTGTAATTTTAAAAAATATCAATTCTTATGATGTTACAAATATCTGAAAACAAAACATAGATGTGCACTTTATAATAAAGGCTTCTAAACTGGAATAATATTGCTGTCAAATGGTTCTTGACTTTCAGTTGTACTTTGCCTAATATCAGTTTTTCAGAGAAACCGCTTTTAAATGATACAATATGTCTGAAACATTTAATACTATATATATATATATATATATATATATATATATATATCAGGACTCAGAGACTAGGTGGATAACGCGATGGAGTTTGAAGCGAACGGTATTGGGTTCGAGTCTCATGGTGAACACCAACTCTGGGATGCAGGTACATCCAGCTGACGAGTCCTAAATAGGACAAGACGCGCGTCTTGGATTCCACTGCTAGTCACTATCCATCTTTGCTTAGAATACTTATAAATTAAGGCAATACACACAGTATGCACATATGCCAATAACAGACTAATGAATCGCAGTGCGAAACGTTGATGGGAAGATTCAAGTAAACAATACCAAGCGAATAAATAATTTGGTATTGATTGTTGCAAAAAAGGACTAATTAAAGGTTATGAAACTCACCTGGTTTGATAGTAAAGATATAATGGACCGATTGATTTTCTTATGTAGTTTAACAATTCGTCTAGAAGCATTTGGTCTGTCTCTAGTTCATTAACGCGTATTAATCGATCGCCAACTTTAAGTCCAGCTAGCTGAGCTGGTGATTTTGGTAGTATCATTGCTATATATGTTACCTAATATGTTAAACCAAAGAAGGAAAGAAAACAATTTAATTAATATAATGTCGAAGTTTTTAAATATCACAGTGTGTACACTTGATACAGTAGTTGATGTGGGTGGTGCGTTTTCTACTGAAAATAGTCCAGTTACTATGGTGATTGGTTTCAGTCATAACGTACAACATGCTCAGAAAAAAATGTTACAGTGATATTTAAAACTTTTCCTTGTTTGACGAACCAACCGTTTTTACGGTCAATGAAATATTGGTTTCAGAGGTTTATTCACTTGAGGAATATGGGATATTGCAGCTATCAAACGAGCTTTCTTACACATATTCAAAGGAAATGTCTAACTAATTCACTAGTTCAGATATCTGTTGGGATAGGTATATTCAGTTATAGACTGTATAAATTAAATAATGTTGTGAGATGCCAGGGAGTCCTACTCAGTTTATTTGACTGAACTCACGAACTGATTTAAGTATGCAGGAATCAAACCCAAAGCCTTGGGTATTACGCGATGCTTAACCTCTAGATCATTGAGCCGAGATTCGGTGCTGAACAAGTTTAATTTCAATTAATCGAGCATATATTTGAATAGTTACTTTGTTTACACTTAATGTATCAGATGAATCCGTTAATAAGAACGTGTAAATTTTGCGAAACTTATGGGAACCAATCTTATCTCTTGCAAAGTACTCTCCACATGTCATGATATTCATGTGCCATCAAAATTTTCTAAAATCAATCCCTTCAGCTACCTCGTCGTTTCTTCGTTTTAAATGTCTTACCAAAATCTTGTGCTCAGAAGGATTTCCAAAATTCATTTGATTGCTATCATTCAAACACTCCTTTGGCTAAATTACGTCTCTAGACGAACGTCTTAGTCCAGCACCATTCTTGCATCTTCATTTCTCTAATGAAAACTACTGATTCACAAGAAAAGAGCTTATTTACCCGAAGACTTATTTACATAAACATCCTTCAACATTTCGTCCACTGAAAATAATAAACTTTCACTAAGTATTATACAATTATTTGTTTTAGATTCATTAGACATATTACGTTTGTACCCAAGCGAATATAAGATACTGACAGTTGTTTTTTGAAATCAAATTCAGTATTTAATGCTTCGCATTACAATTTCTCCATAGCTTAGATCTACTTTGATAATATTTATTTCAATATAGTTTGAAAGATGTTATCAAAACAGGGACTAAAACTATCAGTTTTTCATGCAGTAGTTCTCCATACTTCACTTCCTTTTCGGGCTGGTATAAAATATTTTAAATTGTCTATTGGATAATCATAACGGAAGATTCATTTTAATTTTACCTTCCTTTAATGTTACTCAGTTTTGTGAAGATGAATTAATTCCACAACTTTTATGATAACTATAAATTTATTTCTAAAGCTGGTCTGTCATAAATTACATAACATAATGCAATCCACTGTTGGTTAATTTGGTACACCTGTGTTCTAAAAATTACTGTTTTACATAGTGACATGTGTCCTTTTAAAGATTAATCGAGATTTCCGTAATAAAACGATAAAATAGCATCACTTAATAGCTGGTTCTTACAATATTTTTATGGTAGTACTTTGTTAAAGAGACTATAGATCACCAAATATGAAAGCAAAGTGGCTCCACAATAACAACGATGGTGCTAATGGTGAGATAAAGACTCTTATTTACTTCGTACACGTTCTATCAACTATCACCGTTAATAACAACGGCAAATGAAAAGTAGAATACTAGAGTATTTAACATACATACATTTCATGCAGCAATATGCGCCTCAGACAGAGGAGGAATAGGCAGTAGGTCAATAGTTTTAAAAAGAGACATGGATTGATGAATTACTTGTATGTCAACATAAAGCTAACTTACCACGATGCTATCATTATCTACTATCCTCCTAATTTTTGTACAGCTAGAAACATACACTCTGTTAAACATTTGGATCATATTTCTATATCCTCAAGCAAATGTTAATTCCTATCAAATAGTTTAATCACACTATCTTTAGTGATGTATGGTTCACTGGTATTAGAAATGGCCACATTATTGAAAAATGTCTCCATTTCATTATTATCTGATAATAATTGCTTGACATCTGCCAAACAGTTTATTTGGAAATAATTAAAGTCGTTTCATAACTTTTCGAACGTGAATCAAACTGTTGAAAGTTTTTTTAAATGAACTGTATGCTCACTCTCTAAATAAAGCAGTTCATTTGATTTGAACAGAATATCCGTTCTTTATAGTATAAACCAAACATCATATTCTGAGAGGATAGATTACGTCAATGGTACCGATATCTTCAGACTGGTGAGTGTTTCAAGCGTTATGTTCACTGTGTGTTTTACTTTTCCATACAATGTCCATATCTATAGATAAACATTAAAGTATTTAAGGTCATTCTCAACCGTCTACACCCATTGTTGTGATAGTGTTAGCTTTATGCTAGAATTAATTTCGCTCATCTTACTTTTCAGTAAATTTGTGATTAGATATATAGGTAAGTAAGCAAAAAATGTTTACCCTAATAAATATTATGAAAGAAATTATGAAATGTATAGAAGCAATAATACGGTATATGATGACTTTTCGTCCAAACAAAACGTCCAGATAAAAAATGACAATATTTAGCATGTTTAAAATTCTTGATAAATACAAAGTAAACTTTGTACATTGTTATTATTGCTTAACGCTTCGTTGAACCGTATGGTCAACACAATGTGAGTACAAAAGAAACAGTTATCATCGCTTCAGCATTATCATCTGTTTTAAACACTCATTCGACTAGTCGTACAGTATCTGTTTCGAATTTCTTATCCACCTAACTGACAGATTAAAAAATATGAATATGTTCAGCAACAAGTTTCATACACTTAATAATTTCTATCTTTGCTTTTTAACTGTGTTCGTCCAATCAAGCGAGTTATAGTTGATGATGTTGCAAAATATTTCATTCAACAACCATAAGACAGTTGTGACAATACTTCTTTTAATTGCATTTTTCTACTTGTCCCGGCAGAAATGATCCAATAGCCATTGACTCGGATCTTTTCCAAATTTAGCCATCTTCATGTACAATAAAATGTACAGCGATCAGTTCTAACCTAAACAGGTTATTTGATGGTAAAATTGTACTCGACTAGACGATAATACCATCAAAACTTATCAGAAAAACAAATGAATAACTGATGTCACTGACCGCATTTTTGAACTATGTAAATACTAGGCTATACGGTTTTACGAGTTCATCAGTGTCATTTCATCAAAATATATTTAGTAAATACTTTCTTACATCTGCAGCTGTAGAATCCTTAGTTTAAAAGAAAATTTGTCTTGGTATGAAGTTGAACATCTTAATGAAACTACTTGATTCATACTACGAAAACAACAAGAATTTAAGACAAATGAAAGTTTTGTATGGAAACAATCAAATGATATATCACAAGAACACCTATCAAGCAGAAAAAATAATTTATCGATTTATGCTTTTAACATTTTTCTCACTACCTACTAACTTCGGGATCGATTCCAATTAGGAAGCTATAATCAATTCGATAATGTTGTTATTGACTGTGAAACTAATTCAGTTGTGCGATGATTTGTCAATGATCTTCGATACTATTCATCAAGTGTATGCTGCTTTGTTGAATATGTTTAAATATTTTAGAACTACCGTTAACCGATAATATTGAATTATTTAAATTTACTTAATGATGTTTAACTCCAAATGTTTGTTGGATTTTAGTCTGAAAATTCCACAACAATGCTCACTTTATACATCGTGCATAATTAACTGTGTAAAATGTCAAATATAGTAAAAACTACTGTTTAAAAGGTTAGGCAAAAACATTTCCGACGAAAATGATACACTTACTTGTCTGATACCTTTAGTTCTTTCTAATCGCATACCAAAACGTTCTGTTGTGTCATGACGTTGTAGAACAACTTTCCGATAGGAATCATCTTGATCTGTGGAATCACTACACTGAGCAGATAAATTACTTGAATAATGCGCGCTGGGTATTGTTGTTACTACTGTCATATTACTGCAATTATTGTTAATATTATAGTTTATCTGTTTAGTGAATTTTTGACTTTTGTCTAAAGCTTCATAAGCATATTTTGAATTCTGATTAATGTTTAATTGTTCATCGATTTTCGATAGTAATGAATAGTTAGAATCTAGACTATCATTATTATTACCAATGCTAATTAAGTGATTTTGATTAGACTCATTTAATATTGTCAAATCAGAGTAACTTGGTGGTGGTGTTTCAATGCGTTTAGCACTTTCAACATGAACTTCATTTAAATAATGTTTGGGATCGCGTTTAACTGAATTGTCTGGTTCCTTTGAACAAAAATAACAAAATCAATACTAACATTTGGAACTAATGAAATACCTGAAAAATTAATACTAAAAATCATGAAAATCGTCATAGTTTAGAACTGCTGTCAATTAAAATGACCGAAACTCAAATGAATATCTTAAAATTCCTTGATGGAGTTACTTGTTGGTATAAAGATGATGCTCAAAGCGTTTTCAATAAACCGGATCAAGCAGGGACGTACCACTCACCAAACTCTGACTTACGAGCTAATTAGCTATACATAATTTCAAATTAACTTCAAGATTATTTGATCCAATCAAGTGGAAAAAATGTCAAACGGTACCGATCATTTTTGCTGATATTCAGATCAATGTTGGTTTATATCAGACGTTGTTAATTACTCCTGAAAATCTACAAAACAACCGGAGCACGTCAATACTACTTTCATTTACCCGGCAATTCTGGCAAGTCAAACCATTTATCGTTTAGGTTTAGAGTAGCTTGTCCATCAAATTGCATGCAATTTTGTCATTTTTTGAAAAGTTTCCAATGTACCAAAATCAAACCTGGAAACTAAATTTCAGTCTGGTTTTCATAGAATTTGTTTAGCGATTTAAAGTATATAAACATACAAATCACTCAGCCTTGTGGTGATTTTACAGATCACAAATAATAGTTTGTCATAAAAAGATTGTTTCGTAAATTTTCTATTGATATATTTCTCTAGCTTAAAGGTCTTCATATTTTTTTCGTTTGAAGTCAGTATTCCGAGTTCATAGGTTGGACTAATATCCTCATCACATCTAAACAGTGTAAAAATAAGGACAAATGTTTGGGTGTGATACTGTTCTAAAATGTTCACCTTCCCGTGAACATTTATTCCAAATCAATGAGTACTAAAGAGTTTAAGAGAAGCTCAATTTATTTTATTTCTCACAATCGACATTTAAATTAGGTTCAAAACCAGAAGATTATGAAACACGAATATTCTTTTCTCTGAATGATTTAACTCAATTTTATGTGACAAAACTTTCTAAACATATTCACTCGTAGTGACATAGTTGGCATAACATTATTGACTTAGGGTCAATAAATTATATTCCAAGATCTTTATGAACATTGAGTCCCAACAAATCTATCTGTAGACTGTTTTACAATGACCGAAAACTGAATTACTTAATCTCAAAGAAAAAAACATTGAAAGTATCCGTCAGTTTTAAAAACAAAAACTGACGTTTCTGAAGAGCATCGAATTCACTGTATTTAGTCGACTTATGTTCATCTACATACACCAATTCAGAATATCGTTATACTTGATAATTAATATATAAATTGTTCATTCGAAGCCAGTAAACTATTTGAATAGTAAGTGTAGTACAGTTTAGATCAAATAGTTTGAAAGCATTTTCTATAGAAAGTTAGAGCGATTAAGTCTAATGCACACCATGATAGGCAGAAGTTGATTATATTATACTTTTGGATGGAAAAGGCAATTTAAGGGTAACTAATGATTTTTTGAAAGAAATTTCAGATTACGGCATCTAATGTTCATAACCATAGAAGACTTCAGTATGTTACGGTAATGAGGTTTATTGAGTGCACTCCATAATATCTACATGTCAAACAAATACATTGTGTCCGGCCAACTAAACAATGACCAAAAGATTAACATAACCAACAAATTCATAAAAATCAGTGAATAATCTGTCATTTTATGACTGATTAATTAGTTTTCTTTAATTTCTTGGTATTTGAATACATAGAATTAACTCAACTTCAAGTTTGTATGCAGATGGAACGATGGAGTTGAAATATTAAAATATTTCATCAAATCTTCTGTAAACAATGTCATTCACGCTTTGTTTAAACCATGTACACTGAAGCCAGGTAGGGCTTCAAAAATGTTGTGCAACTTAATTTCTTATTCTGATAAATTTAAAAACAAAACTTTTTTGAAAATAAATCATAACGTTAGTAGGCATATGTTCTAAATTATCATCTCTTGTGTCCAAATGTGTTTCCATCTATAAAAAAGTGTTTTCGATCCACGTGAACTTATTATTTTTATAATTCATTATCTTCTACTAATCTGCAGACCAAGGAAAAGTACTTGTACTAGGATAAATGCTACGTTCCTGAAATTGTAATTTAAATCCAAGTAAAATTTATCATACGACAGTTTACAGAACGGTTGAATTTTAGAAACTTCATAATACACCTTTGCTAGTTATATTCTGGGTTTGACAATTAGTAAAAAGGTAGAGGAATTTGATAACTAATCTTGTAATAACGATTAGTAAATCCAAGCTAAGGGCCTTTGAACGACTGGCAACAACAAAAACCTATCTATACTTCAGTATCGTATCACAGGCTACTATATACATCACTTACTTGGTCGATAAGATTGTATCAGTACATGAAACTGTATGACGATGAATTTATTGCGGCTTAGTGATCAGTTTTTGATTTCTGATCTCAATCAAGATTTAGAGAAGTGAGTTTGTGAATTTTCAATTTACTGATCGAATTTTCAAGATCTTTCTTCACCAAGTGAATAATGTTTAATCAATGAAGAAATTACAGCATAATATGAATTGATTTGTCGATAAACACCTTAATTTCTTTAATTTTTAGAACAATGTTTCAAAGCTAACCCACTATTTCACTCAGTATTCGTTCAATGTTATTACGTTCTCTACTTGATGATCACGGCAGAATACAATATACAGCTAATTGCACTCGAACGTGTAGAACCCGACAGTCTCAAATCAGAATCAGGGAAGGTGATTGTTGGGTAAAAAACAAAAATATGCAGAAAACATGGGTGTTTAGTGTTAGTATTGACTAAAGCATCATTATAATTCAGCCAATCCACAAGGAGGCAATTTATGCCATCGTTCAATCGTAGCATGCTATGTTGCTATTTTAGAAGGCCCTATCAGGTTCTGACTAGATTGAATCTCTTCGGCTCCTTTAGAGCTTTCGAAAGCTTTGTCATGCTTTTTGAAGCCATCCTAACATATTTCACTATAATGACAAGAGTTGCTAGGGAGATGTACTTTTAATGGTTGATTTGCACTCAACTATTCAACCTGCAGATGAAAAAAAGGTACTCATTTAGAGGATCCCATCGGTCCAATACCAGAAAACTTTGGCATCCAGTTTGAAAACCGATTGATTAAATACAACTAAAGACAACCTAAATCGGCATAGAATGATGTATGGATAATAATTCTACGTTTTGAGGTAATATGTGTGATTTAAACTATATTCGGTAGACCTTCAATAACTGTAACCTAGGAATCATATTTGGTAATAAAGTGGAAACTAGTCTAACGAATTAATTTTCTGATAGTGACATGATGGAAACCGTGAGGGAATACTAAGATTTGTTTAAAGAAGACCTTATTTGAATGATCACGTTTTCACGCTTTCAAAATGTAATTCCTATAAGTAGAAATAGAATTATGATTATATATTTTACTACACTAATATAGAGAATTACCAGTCAAGATGTTGATAAGGAATTAACACGACTAAAAAAATCCGTTTGCAGTGTAGATATCAAGATTTTTGGAAAGACTATAGTATCCAGGCATCAAAAACAAGAATGTTTTATGCCAACATCGATTTCTAGAGTGACATAACCGCATTCATCTTAAAGTGGGTGATTTAAAACTATCAAAAAATTTTCTTTGGATCAACTTTGAGATAAGTGTTTACCAGTGACCATTCCACTCTCAATGATTCTGTAAGTCCCTAATATCTAAATTTCTTTTTAAATTTATGTTCTTTTTAGTTGCACTTCATGTTAGTTTAAAAATTTATTGTTATGCAGCACATCTTTACAACTATTGATCTTCTGACTTTTATCACATTCTTGATGAACATTCGAGATCTTAACTGACATGATTTAAGTCTCATAATGATAATAACATTATTCTGTTTTTTTTGTCACCACGTTCTATGATTTTACTGTTATTTCAAAGAAGCATTTTATAAACTTTCATTGTGAAAAAAAAATTATAAATTTATAACTGTACAACTCTAAGAATAAACTCAGTCAAAAGAGATTGGCTCACTGAACTAATCTTCCATGCATCGTAAATACGTATCGCAGTGAAAATGTCAGTCAATCAATCAGTCAGCTACAACGTAGGACCAGGCACATATATGCATCGGTCCAAGTTGCCATACCTCATTAACACAGCAAGGTGAACACCGGATTCATAGGAGTGGTTAAGTCAATGGTGGTAATATGTAAAAGAAAGATTGCATATAAGGATATAGTACAGGAAGAAAGATTTCGTACGTAGAAAGAAAGATATGAAGTGATTTTAATCTCTTAGTTTAAGGGAAGACAGAGGGTGTATACACCTATGCCATTGTGGTCGATTCTGAGTCATGTCACCCAGAGTCTCTAACCATTGGTTATGATAGTCACTCGGACCCCAATCAAGTAGTCCGAATCTACCAACATGGCTCAGACCAGAAGCCAGTGACTTCAAGCACTGATGCCACGTTTTGGTTTGACCGCCCCTAGCTTTCTCCCAACCGTCTCCAACACCGGTTAGCATTGCGCGTCTTGGTAATCGGTGTTCGGGCATACGTAACACGTGGCTCAACGATCTCAGTCGATGAAGATTCACAACCTCATCAACTGATTTACCACGCGTCTAACCTCATTAATACTTACCCGGTGATCCCAGCAGATGTCAGCAATATTTCTAAAGCATCTGTGGTCAAACACTAGTACCTTATGAGTATCTTCAACTCTTAATGGCCACATTTTGCAGCTGTAAAGTAGAACACAACAAACTACTGCACAGTGTACTTGTCCCTTAATTGATAGACGGATATCTCGCCTTCGCCATAGGTGACGCAAGTTGGCAAAAGCCAATCGAGCTTTTCGAATCCGTGGTGAGATTTCGTCAGACACAGACGCATTACGGCTGATCAGACTTCCAAGATAAGTGAAGTTGTCAACAGTGAAAATGTAATGTTATTCAAACATTATATTACCTAAAATGGTCTAAATGGAACTAATTTTGAATCATAGCTTTATTCAAGGTGAAGAAATGTTCTTTTTGTCAAGTGGAGGCACAGATTATTTATATTTTAACTTTAAATGTTATGCTGACCATGTTTGTCAGTATGATATACCACAATGAAAAAATATTGTCTTTTTTCAGAAGTTAAACACTATAGAGTAACGGTCATTTTTTTCTAGGTTCATGAAGTTGTACAAAATGCATGTAAACTTAAGTAATGTTCCTAATAATTATGATGGGCTAAGATAATGTTCTCAACTCTGGACTGAAATTAGTGCAAACTTCAATATCAGCCAGTATTATCACTTATTTTTCTGTGTATTTTGAAATTCTATCTTTCCTACTAAACACGTAAACTTACTTGATATGATATAGGTTGGGTGACATTGATCTTTTTCATTATATGAACGAGAAGATAGATAATTTAATTACGACATTTGCTTTAAACAGTTTATTAAGATATGTAGTTATTTAAAAATTATGTAGTTTGGAGATAAGTTGGTAAACTATTGGATAAGACAGAATGACTTACGGTTGTCCTAACAAATTAAGCTTCACCTTTGTTGTAACAACATTCTATGGAAATTATTACTCTCCAATCAACAGATTTCTAAAGCGCAGTATATTGTGATAATTTTAGTAAGTGATTGATGTCTTTTGACTGACTTACAATGAATTTTTGCGAAACCTAGTGGTTGAATAACATAGACTAATAAGTTTGCTTACTGACCACTCCTACTAAAATGGTCTAAATTCGAAGTGAAGTAGTTTATGTGCAGTGATCAAACTCTACACAAACGCCAACATATTAATTTGGGACTTCAAAAGGTTTAAATATAGGTCAAATTTATTTGATTCAATAAGGAACTGTAGACGTTTGAAGGACAAAAGATATAATCATCCAATATGTCTCGCTTCACATACCGACCAGAAATTATCAGTGAAATTTCCTTCTTCATACTTCTTTTGGTTGTCAGCAAAATTAATGTTCTCATTTATAAACTTACATTAAATACATTTTTTAAATACTTCCCATATACAGACATACATATTATGGGACCTGTTTACTTTTATCATTGAACTATAGTAATGAAGCAACAACTGATAAACCATAAAAACAAAACTTACATTTTTCCTGTTTACAAAATGATCATTATCCAATAGTGCTTTACCTTTGATATTATTATTATTATTAACATAACCAGCGCTTTTGTCATCTAAATTATCAACATCTAGTTTCTTATTAATCGATTTGAATTGCTGAATATTTAATTCTAGCTGTGATAATGGTAACTTATTTAGATTATTACTGTCTTTATTATTATTATTATTATTATAGGTTTTTTGACAATATGATTTATTTCGCTTAATCAGTAGGTTTCCGTTTAAATGATTTTTTACATTCGATATTAACAATGAATTAGATGATGATATAGTTGTTTCTTTAACTGGATTTAATTGAAATATTTGCTTCTTTTTTAAATATGGTGAAGTAATTCTTTCTGAATTGAAAATAGTGTGAAACAAATGTGTCGGTGTAGTATGTTCTTTTTTCATAAATATTGGAGAACATGGAGCAGATTGTGTTGTGCATAAGTGATCCTTTTTAATACGATTGATTGGTAAATTGAGAATAATTTTATTAAATGCACCAGAATTTTCATGATTTTTATTATTAATACGGATTGAGGTTGACAATCTGTTTGTAGGTTTCTGTAGTTAAAATAGAATTTTAAAAAAAGAATGACTGTTACTGAGAAATTCTGAAACCCAGGATTTTAAGCAGTTTTTATGCTTAAGTTTAAATACATTCACTCGTTCATATAACTGTACTTGAAATAATTTCGTTTTTCCTTTGAAACGAAATTTTTATGTAGAAAACAGGCTTAAAAACCTAATAACATTCTTTTGTTGTCTTCCAACGGTCATTAGAAAAGTACAGTAAACTATATTAAAATAGGAAGTGGAACTTTAGCATTACGGTTTTTATTCGCAAAACTACGTTTTTTTTACAAATAGAATACATCCAACTCGCTAACTGGTTACTTCACTGATTTCGTTAGTACAATTCTGTTATTCAAAGTTTTTTAACTTCCAAAAATACAACTATAAATCAGGTTAAAAAAAAGCTTTTTTATGGAATCTAACGGTTTATTTGACGATAAATGACGCTGAATTAATTAACACAAAAAATTCAGTCTATCTGTGTTTAGCTGTTTCAGCACTTAACTCAAATTTCCATCGTGAAAAAATAGATTTCCTGCAGACTACTTCCGACCACCTGTCATCGAAGCACATTGAACGCGATATTGTGTCACTCAAACTAGAAGAAACTCTGCAATCTGGTTGATACGATTCGTTCATCACAGGAAACAAGAAAAAAATATTTCGTCACTACTCAAAAGTACTTTTAATGTAAGAGTTAAATACTGGCTACTAAATGAATTCGCCACACTTTTTCCATACTTCCATAACCATAACTGATTCTGCACTGAATATCGTTAGGTATCCAAATGAAAATAAACTCTAGTTCAATAATACAGGCAAATGTCAATCATTATAAAAGTTCATTTAAATTTTTATATTATTATTGGCAGGATAACGAAATCAAAACACGTATAAAATTATTTTATTTTCCTCTGTATATAGTAGATATTCTTTTTAATTGTTGGTGTAAAATAAATATTCCAGGACTTCACCGAGGTCGTTCTTCTGTGTTTGACTTTGTTGAGCAAAATATGTTTTTTCAACAATTACAACACTGAATACTATACACGTCTACAATCTATCTGCTGTCCAATGAGAACAATGAAAAAAAAAGACGAGTATAATTTACTATATCGTTGCATTACTCTCTCAAAAATGAGGACTACTTCATGGGACTCAAAATAATATGATTTTATCATATAGTGGTATATAACATATTTCATTAATTGATCCAAACAAAAATATTTTCATCCTATCAACTTCAATAATATACACCTTTGAACAAGGATGAAAATGTTTACCATCACAAGACGTTTCCTGAATTTCATGTTCCTCTGTAATCTTTGGTAGTCGAATTGTTTACGATTAATAAGTAACTGATATCAATACTTTGAATTGTATGTCTAATTAGCATCCGTTAGTCAGCTGTTTAGTAATTTTTTTTTCAAAAACGTATCCATCAGAATGCTGTTGTGTGATTGACCAATTTGATCAATTCATCCTATTGTTCACTAAATAACGGTCATTTAGGTATTTCTAATAACCATTAGTCACATTATAAATAAAAATTCAATGAAGACTTTCAAATTATCACGACGTTTGCATTAATAAATTATAGTCTAATTTAAATTTCAACATAGTATCAAACAATATCATGTTAGCTTATTAAAATGCGTCTTGTTGTGATCTAGATGCTTTAAATACCATCTTATATTTTATGAAGCAATTGACTGAATCTCAACTGTGGGACGTGAGTGGCAAAATCTTATACTAGTATTTGACAAAAACGATATATGCGATCATTTTATTTATGGTTGAGGGAAGTTTACGAAATACGTCGACAGAATAATATTTATGTAAATCAGAACGAAGTCGTAAGACTGGACAGTTAGTTTCATCGTGATCTTTAGTGGCTGGCACTATGTTAAGCTTATATAGGCTATCCTAGATTCTGGACAGACCAATTTCATTATTATTTTCAAGCCACGTTTTGACCTTATCACTTATTCGCTTATTAATCCTAACTACGACTAAGGTGGCTCATCCGATATCTCCTCTAAACGTCACTCCGTTTGATTTTGCTTCCTTTGCCTCGTTTCTGCGATTGTCTGTTTGGAACGATGGGTGTGCAAAATATACGTATTTATTTAACTTATTCTCTTATTTAGCTTATTTTATTCTGATATTCTTTAACTTGAATTAAGTCGATAAAAATATACGAAGGTTGGCAGGATGCATGTTTCAGTAACAATAAGTATACGATCTAACTGAAATTAGATGTAAGGCCAAAAAAGATTTTAAACGTAAGAAATGCTAATTAGGATTACTGTTATAAGGCTCATCAATGTTCGTTACTGTCATAATGGCGATAATAATAACAATAGTAATAATAATAATAATAACCTCACCTGATAATCAGCAGTTCTATCTAACTGAAGTGAAACTGACGGATACTACTGAGAATCTATGAGTAATGTCAGCGTCTGACAATTGTTTATTAGTAGAAATGAATTTACTTCGGTGACTGTGACACAAAGTTATATGACAAATCACCGCCTAAGCAAACTTTACAACTAATATACATTTCATTTTATTTTTTTCATTCACCGGATGATAATCAGTGTCATTAACGTTTTATTTTCAAAGTTCTTAATAAAAAAATTGTCTCAATCTGTCAAAATTTCTTACTAAGAAAAAAAGTATCATACTGAACTGTTTATGAGAAAACAAAAATTACCATAAATGGGACTCCAAATTTTTGGAACCGTGTCTTAGTAATTTCTAAATAATAATTCAATTGTAAATGTTGCTTGTTAACTGTTGATACAGTAATCTAGTAATAACATGGTAACAGTTTAAACAAGACTGTACTTTAGTTTGCCAACAAAACATTATTTCAAGAATACCGAGTGTAGTTCTACATACATTTTTAAGAGCATTCTCTCCTGACCATTTACAGTAGTATGTAAAGCATTAATGAAAATTATATCATAAATTTAACATGTTACTAAAATAAATGATATAATTCATAGGTGATCTTCACCAGTTCTTATTGTTGACTAATTTTACATTTGACTATTATAGTGATGCAATTTTATTGTTAGTTATGTATTAATGAATGTTAATTCGCTTAGAAGCTTTTGTTTTAAATAGCTACGTTATCCATTTCAAATAAAATACATATTGAATAAAAGAGGATGTTGAATTTAAACTAAATATAACGCCCGACGAAAAGTCCATTTGTGGAGGATTATATCTCTAGTGTAAATATTACACTTTCAAAGTCATAATTCAAATGTTATTAAATTATTACATGCACAATTCTATAACCACCGTATATAAGGAATTATTCAGAGTTGAATTTTGTACTTTCACTGTATTTGAAAACTATAAAGTCGGTTAGTGTACTATTCGTTTCAAAAGCGTTTACATTGCTTCAAACATTCTAGTTCGTAAATTCATTTTCCTTGTAAACTAAAATCTTGAGATGGTGGAGAAGATTTGTAGCTCAGGTGAATGATTAAGTATTCCTCAATATCATAAAAAACATTATTTTTACATCTTTCCTATGAACATTTTTAATTTTAGCTTCTTATGTTGATCTGTTATTGCAACATGGATTGGTGAAAGATTTTACCAGGTTCTACGTCGTTTTTAATTAACTAGGCGGCTATAAATCATTCAAAAATCAAAATCACAATAATTTAAGTAGTTTGAACAACAAAAGAACTTAACAAATTCGTAAGTTAATTTCAATATCTTCGTTGTTGTTATCTTGTCTATTACTTGGACTTAACTACCATTTTCACCTGTTTTCAGTGTGCGCATACATATAATTATGTTTGATGTTAATAAAAACATCAAAGTACTACTATTCTAGTGCTAATCTTATGGGGAAACAAATAAGGGGTTTTTCATCGTATCTGTAATTTGGTATCTATCCTGTCTTAATATAGCTTTAGAACAGTTTCAGAATATTATATGGTTCGGTCGCTTTTCAACCTATTCCAAATGTCAATGTCATATGTTTAAACTATTTCACCTCATTAATAGACACTTGAAATATAAATTCTAGTCTCATAAATGGAGGTCAATACGTTAGTTTATGTAAATTGTGGAAATTAAATGACATTGGATGCTTTTCGGCTACATTTAAATTTACCAAAAATGAACTGATTATCGGATAACTCCATTTATATGTATTTATGATCCCTTTTAAAATCTATGGAACAGATTTTTGGAATAAATGACTTTGTGAGCATAAGAATAATGATTTAATGAATGCAAAAATTGATATTCTATTAAATAATGAAACAAATTTTGACTCATATTTTAGAACCATATTGTACAATACTGTATACTAAAACATAGTGAGGATAACGAACTTTTGAAAAAATTTCCTCAAATACACTATTTAATACATAATTACGTGTACACTGAACTGTAAGTACATATTATTTGAAGTAAACTATGTTAATAAAAATGGTCATCAGTTTGTATAAATATTAGTTAAGATACTACTAACAGAATATTTTGTCACTAGTTATAATTAATTAATGACTGTTTACTTTAAAAAAGAATAGTGAATGATCGAAAATAAAATTTAATTCACGTTAATACCACTATTATTGAATTTATATAATAGATAGTACTGAGGTCATCAAATAATGAACATCATATCTATTCAAACTTATTTTGAACAATAAATGCGTTATTATCAGAATGAGTTTTGTGGAGATTTTAGGAAATTTCACAGGTTGAAATCATGAGTCAATTGAAGCTAGACCACCATGGAGAAGCTGGAAGCATTAAATGTTTGTTACATTTAAAAAAAAGAGAAATTAATAATGAACTATGAAAGAATAAAATCAACTCTTAAGTAACACTGTCCACTATCAATCAATAATGATGTTAAAATAATGCACAAATAGAAAGCAGTGTTTTTCTGTATCTTTATGAACCTGATAAATCATGGATAGAGTATCTTCTTATTATGGTACAAAAAA